GTTACTGAACAATTCTGATGTTTTGTAATACTACTGACTGAAAGCAAGTTAGTATCAAGCTTAGGAACATGCAAAACTAAAGATAAGGAAATTGTATTAGACAACTTGATGTCTCCCTTGCCAGAAATGGGAACAAGGGAACCATCAACAATGGACACTTTATCTCTACCAGAAGATAAGTAATAGGTAGTGAACAGTGATGGTAAGCTAGTCATATGGTCAAATGCACCTGAGTCTATTACCCAACAATGTTCAGTGTTACCTGGAGCTGAAGCATGGTAAGCTAAGGCCCGAGTACCTGAATGAGCAAAGGCTGATGTGGAAGGAGCTGATGATGATTGAGATGATTGAGCTGAATTCCCAACTTCTTTTTCCAACTGTGTTAGGGCAGCCCGAACAGCAGCTGAGGTGTCTAGAGGTGTGTCTTTTGTGCCCGATGAGGATGCAGAATCGGTATTAACAGCCATATAGGCATTACCCCTTTTGTTCCTCAGTTTTGCTGGGACTAGATGAGGGTGTAGCTTCCAACATGTGTCTTTAGTATGCTTAGGTTTCTTGTAATGTTCACACACTAGATCTCGCTTATCTTCCTTCTTTATATCCCTTTCTGTATCACCCCCAGACTTAGGTTTAACTGCTGGTAAGGTTGGTGGGAAGGGCTGATGCTGCATCATTACCTTTCTCTTAGTCTCTTCACTATGCACCAATGAGTAGGCTTGAGATAAGGTCACAATGTCCCTTGTTAGTAGTTGTTGTCTCACAATATCATAGTCAGGATTCATACCAGCTAGGAATTCAAAAACCCTATTAGTTTCAACTTGCTTTCTATGAGTCTACACATCCTTCTGACTTTCCCACTCAAGTGTTTCTAAGTGGTCAATTTCATGCCACAAAGATTTCAAAGTAGAGAAGTAAACGAAGACTGGTTTCTCTCCTTGCTTAAGGTTATTAACCTCACACTTCAATTCATAGGCCCTAGCAACATTAAGGGGTTGGGAGTAGGTCTCTTTCATAGCATCCTAGATTTCCTTGGCTGTTTTTGCCCACAAATAGTTTCGGCTGATATGTGGCTGCATAGAGTTGCACAGTCATGTCATAACCAAATAGTTCTCGTGAACCCATTTGGTATACATTTGGTCCTCCTTAGATGGTTCTTTCACATCTCCCAACAGGTAGCTAAGTTTTCTTCTACCCCCAATAGCCATCATGGCCGATTGGGCTTATTCTAAGTAGTTGGATCCATCAAACTTCACAGTTGTAATCTTAATTGTATTCTCAGACATGTTACCAGAATTGCTAGTCCCAAAAGCACCTTCCCCCTAATTCTTGAACTCCATTCTTGGTTAAGAATTAGCAATAAAAACTTTTGAAGCTACTGTAATAGAAAACARCACCTAAACAAYTGATAACRKCCRGCCTAGGTCTTCCACAAACAAGGGAAAAACAGAATTCTGTATGAACCCAGTTCAGATCTGATCTGAAGCCAACGACAGTTCTGCAATTTAGGGTTTTCTCTCAAAACCCTAAAGAGAAAAAAAAAGGTTTTCTAGCCGCACCTCTCAGAATAGACCAAGATGGTTCTTTCAAGGTTATTCTCAAGCAAAAACTTACTTTATGAAAGAAAATCTCTGGCCGCCACCTTTTGTCTGATGCAGAACCCTAATCTTGAGGATCCGAAGCCTTTTCTAATTCTTCCTGACTACTGGAACTCTCCCAGCCTTATACAATCTTCTTAGTAGTAGCCGCACACTACCAGTAGCCTCCAAGAATCAGCCGGTCCTCCTTCTTAGTCTTCCAGCCCTAGGCAACTCTCATGTGGTTGGCTGGACCAGACTCACATGAGAAACACTAAACTTGGCTCTGATACCAAGTAGTCGATCATGACTACAATCAGTCTTGAATTCGAAAGTCAAAGAAAAGATTTCAGAAGAAGAAAAGAGGAAGAAAAGAAGAAGAGAGGGAAAAAAGCAGAAGCACACAAAGGGTTTTAGAAAAGAGACAGAGGGTCGATCTTAATGATCTGCCGACCCACTCTTAATATTTATATATGTTGACTAATTGTAAAAGGGCTGAATTGCCCTTATTGCTTACATGGCAAATAAACTAATAATAAAACTGAAATAACAAGTTGTAACAACAAACCGAAATAACTACCAACTAACACTGACATAACTAACAAAAAATATATGCTATGCTGCCATACAAACACAGTGGGGACCACAGCAGTGGGGTCCACATCAGTGTTCTCTACAAAGTTCAGAGCAAAGGTTCCCCAAAAATGATACATGGTCGGAAGGCCAGAGGGTTTTATGACCGATGATGTTTAAGTATTTGGTATCTGTATAATAGATTAAAAAATCTACGGGATTGTTTTTTGGGCTTTGCTTTAGTTTTTGAACATGTTGCCTTTTTTATAGGTAATTTTTAACAGATCTTTGCATAGAGCGGTGACATTTCCAATTACTCATTCCGTAATTGTTGTTTTTCATTTTTTTTGTTTTGAGGTAAGAATGCATTGTATCGATCGAATTCGACTAGAACCGAATATTCGATTTTCTAATCCAATTCGAATTCAGTTTTTATTTTTAAATATCCGTCAAGATTTGAATCAAATTCAAATCATCATACCTCTAATTGAAATCGAATTTGAATATTGAATGATTCGCTTCGAATTCAATCCGTTTACACCCCTAGTTATAATCTGTGCTAGTCTCACCTTAACCCTTGTGCACTTGCTTGCAGGGTGAACATCCTTTCCATAACTATACTGCAAGATCCAAGTACAGAAAACGGCTTACTGGGAAAAACTACATTGATAGAAGGGCACAGACAACTAACAAATCATCATTATTGTCTGAGTCTGAGGAAAGTGATCGATCTGAAGATGAATCTGAAAAAAGTGGATCTGATTTAGCAGCTACAGTTGATAGTGTTGGCAGTGATCTGAATTCTTCATACTCCTGTGGCTTTGATATGCAAACAGATGAACAGGATGGAAATGACTTGAAGAATCAAGATTCCCTTTTAACAGTACGTGCCAGATGGTTACACATGCCTGATGAGACAGACAGACTTAGTGCATCTCATTTTAGAAAGATCTTTCTCTGTTCCTGTGGGAAGCTGCAAAAGTCACTGGATATAGACTACATTGAAGTCACTATCCATGGCGAGTCCTTCATGTTGCATCAAGTAAGTGAAATGAAAATTCTTATAATTATGAAGAAAAATGTGTCACTTTGCTTCCTTCTATCCAGTTCTTGGACTATTATCTCATTGAAATAGAATCAATGGAATTTAGGCACAGAAGAGGTACACTGGTGTCCATTGTGGTGACAAGATGCAACCACCATTCAGTTATATGTAACATAGTAGAAAATCAGCTGCTATTTTATTTTATTGAAAATTCTTAATGGAACCATCATTGTTTGATTTACCTATCAGAATTTGTCATGCATATAGAATCTTTTTCATGATCGGTAAACATGTATTTTATTAAAATTCAGATTGTAAGCAGTTTATACAACTTGGTGATGGGACTGTTGATCCCCTTTAATCACTCTATTCTATCCCTCATTACAGTGCAGCCCAAAATAATTGTTGTCTCAATGCCCCCTGTTTTGCTAAACCATCAGCTAGCCCATTTGCACTTCTTCAGATCCATTTAAATTCAGCCTCAACCTCCTTTGCAATATTCTCCACTTCCCTAATCACATGTTTAAACGTCCATGGGGTATGGCTGCTGTTTGCTGCCCATGAAATTACTACTTTTGAGTCCCCTTCCACTTCAACATGCCTGCATCCTAGTTGTTTGGCTAGCTTTAACCCTTGTAGTAATGCCAATAGTTCAACCTTTAGCGAGTTTCCAGTGCCAATTGGTCCTGAGAACATACCCAATATCCTCCTTTCAAAGTTTCTTAATACTCCCCCTATTCCTGAGATGCCCAGATTTCCAAAGGAGCACCCATCAAAATTCAACTTTACTTTATTGCCTTCTGGTGGTTTCCACTCCAGCCTTACTTTATCTCTTACTCTCGAAGACTGTGCTACTTCGGACCATGTTCTTAGAATGTCGGTGACTGAGAAGACTTGAAAGCTATCCAAGGGTTTTACCCAATGGGCTGCTTTCACCTTGATACTATCAACCACTTCCTCTATTGTTCTACTTTTTTCCAAGAAAATTTTGTTGTTCCTCTCTTCCCATATTACCCAGCAAATTGCTGCCTTTGTTGCTCTCCACATTACCATCCTTCTTTTCTTTCACTGTCTCAAGAATTCATGATTAAAGAGTCCTGCCACATCTTGAGGGGGAACCCACTTGCAACTAAAGAGAGTACAAAAGAATTCCCAAATTCGATGCACAAAAGAACCCGATATCATTAAATGAGAAAGGGTCTCACCACTTTCCTTACATAATGAACACACATGAGGAGAAAGGCAAATATATGACATTTTTTTTTCTGCAGCATATCACAAGTGTTTACCTTGCCAAGGAATATTTCCTAGTAGAAGGCTTGGATCTTCGGGGGAATAGGCTTGCACCAATTTTCTTTCATAGGGAAAACCCCACCTAGAAGGTTGGGGGAAGCAAGTACTTTGAAGAAAGAGGACCAAGAAAAGAGGCCGTCTGGAGAGCCTACCCAAATTCTAGAGTCTTCCAATGAAGGGTCCAAGTGGATTTGCCATAGGAGGCCCAACAATCGGATTAAAAACTCACTCATTTTCCCTTAGTCCCCTTCTAAAGCCCAAATTTAGTTCACACCGTTTGGACACAGTGTTCCCAACAAGGATATAGCTTCCCCCTTGAGGTTAGATAGTGCAAAGAGATCAAGAAATTGGTCTTTTAGTGGGGTTTCCCCTACCTATAGATCTTCCCAAAACAAAATTTTATTACCTTGTCCCACATTGAACCAGATGGAATTGAGGAAAGTAAGGTAGATTTCATGAATTGCTTTCCAAGGAGAAGCTGAAGAACTGTGAGGGGAAACTTTTGCATCCTAGCCATTTCCAACCACCCCATGAATGCTCTCAATCACTTTGTTCCATAATCTGTCGCCCTCAAAGGGAAACCCCCAAAGCCACTTACCTGGTAGAGCTGTGTTCCTTAAAAGGATGTTCCCAATTCCTAAACCCCATTGTTTCTTAGGTTTGCTAACCTTCTCCCACTTGATCAAGTGGTCCTTCCTTTCCTCTCTTGGGTCCCAAAGGAAATCTCGCATATACTTCTCTAAGCACCTTGCTACCTTAGAAGGGATTCTAAAGGTTGAAAAGAAGTAGGTGGGGAGGTTTGCCAGAGTGGCTCTAATCAAGGTTATTCTTCCACCCAAAGAAATATAATTCCTCCTCCGACTCCCTAATGATATGAATATCTGAAATTTCAATACCTTAATTTATAAAGCTCCAAAACAAGGGGCTTATTCTGGCCACATGCAATAGGGTCTAAGCTGAAATCTGCCTCTTGAGTAGAGTTTGCAACTGCCAATGATCCAGTAACTGAGGTGGTCACTCAGAGTGGCTCCAGAAAAATGGAGGTGTGGGATCAAATTCATGGAACTGCAGGGTTTATAATATATATAGTGTTGGGGGGGGGGGGGTAACCCTCCCCCAGATCCTGGTGAAGGTGGGATTCTATCCCAACTCTCCACTACAACCAGCCAGAAAACCTTACCAGCAAACTATCTGTGACCTTCAAAACATGGTTAGGTTTTCCATCCAGAAAAGGGGCTTAATAAATTTTAACTCAAAGTCGTGTTGTTTCCTGGTTGGAGTTAATAAGTTATGTCCTTATTTTTCCATTGGTAAGTTACATCTTTTAGTCATAAATCAACTCTAATTTAGTTTCCTAACTCAAACGGAAACACAAAGGTTGTTTAATATTACAAATTAAAACTAATTTAATATCTTAAATGAAATAACAAACCATCCTAAATGCATTAAGAGTTATCATGTGAGTAATAGGTCCCAAACAAAATCCTTGTATATAGTTCCCATACTCAGCACAGGGTCATTAGCTAGTTATATTATATTATATATATATTCTTGACAGTGTAGCTGGCCAGAGATAAGAGGAAGAGGAGAGCAGAGAAGAGAAGAGAAGAGAGGAGAGAAGAGAGAAGGTTTGCAATGTAAYRGTACTRGYGRYRCYARTGTTTATTTTACTATATATAGGGCGACAGAAATAACAAGGGAAAAGACCCTTGTGCCCCTGAGTACAATAACAGACATAACAGAAATAAAAAAACGAAATAAAAAAACACTTTAATTAGCCAAACAGGCCCTAACATCTGCAACTAAGTTATTTTAACATTATTCTAACATATATATATATATATGTCATTTATGCTTTGTTTTGAGGTCGTACTATTGAAATATAAAGGATCCATGAGTTTTAAGAAGTGAAAGGAAAGAACAGATGCTCCGCCTCCTGTTCTTTTTCTCTTTCCCCTATGTCCTGTCTTAAACTTTATTACTATAAAATTATAACCTTCTTTAGTTGCTAATCTGATATAAAATTACTCTATTAAATACTTGTCATGGTATAATTTTTTTTAAATATTTGATAGGTTTAAAATCTATTTCTTTTAGAAATGATGATTTTCTATGTTTCAAGAGGAAATTTAATGTTACTAATAAGGATAATTGCTATTTTTTCAATTTATATGCATGTTGATTGGCTTTTAAACAAGGGAACTATTGTAGATTTAGATTTTTATTGTATAAAATTCTATCACGTAGGCACCTTCCTGGGCAACTAGATGTTCCACTGTCACCTAGAATTGTGTTTACACTTTAAAACTATGGTTACATGGAAATCTGTTATTAAAAAAAAAAAATAGATTACACGGAAGATTTCTGGGTTGTTTAGACTCCTTTTCTAAACAACCAACTAGCAGGCACTTTTCTGTCATCCACAATAATCTGCATTTTGTTAAAATTATAACCCCAGATAAGAAGCCTCACGCTTCAATGTTTCCTGAAATGAAGTACAAACAACCAAAGGTTGAAATGCAGACTACAAATTGAACAAACCAAATCACCTAGGCATGTGTGCTCATAAAAACCAAATCACCTAGGCATGCATCCGCTAGGTGATTTGGTTTATCTTTTATCACATGATAGCAAGTAGTTCATGTATCTCTTGGAGTAACAATAAGAAGCATGCACTCATTAGGTAATTTCTTCTTTTATTTGATCATTTGATTGATAGAATGTATATGTTTTATTAGAGGGTTGCAAAAAGTGTTGTGACCATGTGGACTAATCAAAACTAAATCACCTAGGCATGCACTTACAAGATGATTTGATTTGATTATTAGCATATTCTTGACTTATTTAAGGGTTACAAGAAAGTATTGTGACCATGTGAACTCATTGAAATCAAATCACCCAGGCATGAACTCACTAGGGGATTTGGTTTTTCTTTTGATTGATAGCATGTCAGTGTTTTATTGACAAGAAAGTATTGTGACCATGTGAACACATCACAATACATTTTAGGCTACCTTGGAATTTCTTTGTTTTTTTTAGCAAGGTAGTAGACTTTACTTTTTCATATATATATAGTGCTTAAAAGTAAGTGCTCATTGAATAAGTCCAACATTCCAGCTTTTTTTAAGTGCTTATACAATAAGCACTTATTCAATTTTTTTCTCCCAGAATTGTCCCCAGTCAATTTTTAAAATATCTGTTATACCCTTTCAATGTAAGAAACGTTGGGCACGACCAATTGAGGTAGCAGGTGAGACTGAGAGTTTCGACGGAGGCAAAGACGAGGAAGGAGTAGTCGTTCTGCCGCCACTCTTGGCTACAGATGACACAACTAGTGGCACTTCCGGTGACTTCCTGGACCGGAGTGACGACATGCTGCTCAACAAATCGTCCAGTGACCCTATTCTTCCGTGAGTATGGATTCTGATTCCAGCAAGTGCCAAAACCTAATTTTTTGTGTTTGACAGAGGTAAGAAGAAGAAATCTGACATAAAAGAATATTTACAAATTTTTTCAGGAGCAAAGCACTGTGTACCTTCTTCAAAACATTAGCCGAGGTTGTCCCAATGCTTAGACTCCTCAATTGATGGTAACGAGGTGAAAGGCTCTGCTTCTGAAGGATCCATTGTATCAGATTCATAATTTTCCTCTTTTTGTGACCTAGCACAGGGTGTCTCTGCAGACGAGTCTTCAGGCGAGTCAACACGAACCAAAACTCAGTTTTCCCGGCCTCGTTTGCCGAATTCAAACAGTTCCAGATTGTTCAAAGACACATTTTTTCTCAAAAAAATGGCGGCAATATAGAGAGTGAGAGTGAGAGTCAAGGACAAAAGAGTCACAAGTGCTTATTGGAGAAACAGACCACCAAACACCCAATATGAAATAAGTGCTTGAAAAAGCTAGGTGCCAAATGCAAATAAGTGCTTATTCAAATAAGCACTTATTTTTAACACAAAAGCTCCCAAACATGGCCTTAGTGTATTTAGTATATAATTGGGCTTCTAAACAAGGCAGCTTTATGTTGGGCCTAGAGTAAATCCATTGGAATCGGATGAAATCCAAAATCTGAAAAATCCAACCAGAATTGAACTCATGCATTGTTCATACATCCATTCGGATTTCAGATCGGATTTGGATGCCTTTAATTCTTTATCAGATTGAACTCAGATTTTTCTGAACCCAATCTGATTACAGGCCTACTCATGTTGGACTTCTTGGATGATGGTTGTGGTCTATCTTTATTTTCTCCTTCTCAGTCGCATAGATGCGAGAAGATGGATAACAATAAAACTGAAGTAACAGTGGTGCAGACTTCATCAGAGGACAAGGATGGATTTGCATGGTGCACAAATTCATACATTTACAAGAAGAAAGAATGGAAAGAAGGGTAAGTCGAAAACAAACGTTGGAGGTTCCAGATTGTGTACTCTCAGCACTGTAGATTGAGAAAAGAGAAATTAATGGATCTTCCAATCATGCAGGTTGCAAAGAAGCAAATTAATGAATTTAAGGGTTCTTCCTGGGACGCACAGAATGTCTCGATGATTCGTGTTGATCCTAAGATTGGGAAAATGGAATAGAGGCATATGTGATTCAACAAGGGGAGATGGTTTCTGAAGTTGGAATATATGTGTGAAATAATTTGTGATGTCAACATGGGGGAAACGAATGAAATCAGGTTGGATAAGAGAGAAGATGATTTAAGAGACCAAATGGTTGAAGAGGGAAGGGAGGTCGGGACAGTTTGTGATGTGGTGGAGCTGTCAGGTTCAAAAGTGTACAAGAGAAACAAGAAGCATGGAACTTTCTCTGTTAGACAAAGAAGAGGGGGTAGGATTGAAACCAGAGGTTGAACCTTCAGAAATGGAAGATGAAATTGTTTTGGAATTGCAAAGGAAATGGACTTGGAGGCAGTGGTTAACAAAGAAGTAAAAGTAAGTAAAATTTTGGGTTTATTTTTTTCTTGGAAGTCAGGAATTTGCAAGGAAGATGTTTAGAGAGTTGGAAGAAGAATCTTGTAGGAAATCACAGAGCAGAGAAGAAGCTAATACAAAACCAGATAAAGGGGGTTTCACAAGTAAGTTGATGGAAAAGAAAGAAGAATCGAGGAATCCTGACATTGAAGTTGATGCCTATGAAGATGTTGGAGAGTGGGAGGAAGCTCAATGTTTTGAGAAAAATGCAGTCTTTTAATTAGAAAGACTAAATGACGGTAGCAAGGGGATTGGAGTTGATGAGCAGATACCTAATGCAGTAAGAAGGTTTAGAAATAAGAAGCAACTTCGAAATGTTCAAGTGTCAACAGCTTTTAGAAGATTGAAGATGGGACTTATGGGGGTGGTCCTATCAAGAAAATTAAGAAATCTAGGAAGCAGAAAGTGTTTTTTTTTTTTTTTTTTTTTTTTGATTTCTTGTGAAAGGGCTACACAACAGGGGGTAGCCCATCCCCCAATCCAGGTGCAGGCGGGATTCGATCCCAAGTCTCCGCTACGACCAGCAGGAGACCTTACCAAGCAGCTGGTTGGCACCTTGTGCAGAAAATGTAATATTTCAATCAACAAGGGGGCTTTTAGTGGTTTTTTTTGTAGGGGTTTGGTTTGGATTGTGGAGTTTCTTTTTCTGGGTAATGTTCTAGGAATTGGGGTGGATCTTACTTCAGGGTTGTGGTTTGCTGGGGTTTATTTTTTTATTTGATTAGCTCTTTCATTTTTTTTAGTTGAAGGGGATTGTTTTGATTGATCGGGCCTGGATATTTAGGCATTGTATTTTGGTTTTGAATGGAAAGGTTCTTGGCGGGTTGCTTGGTTTGGATCAGGTGTTTCTTTTGTTGTTGGGTAATGCCTTGTCACCTTTTTGTAAATCCTTCTCTTCTTAATAAATTTTATTTTTTATTTATATTCAAAAAATGTCTGTTTTATTCGAGGGTCGCAAGTAAGTGTTGTGATCATGTGAACACATTGAAACCAAAATCACGCAGGCAAGCACTCTTTGGGTGATTTAGTTTTTCATTTGGTTGATACATGATAGCATGTCATATTTTATGGAGAATCAAAAGAAAGTGTTGTGACCATATGAACTCATTGCACCATATATCTCTGTATTTTTAAACTGTCAAAGTAAGGCAGTGGACCCTAGAGGCATAGTTTTCAAGGCATTGAGGCAAGGCTTTTGAATAAAGCCCACCTTTCACTATTAATTGCCGCCTAGTCACATAGGTTTTTTTTTTAATAAAAAACATGAATCCTTGGGTAATTCCTTAAGTTCCATAGCAAGCATCCACCATCTTTCGCTATTAATTGTCTATAATCTTCATAAAAATGTATAAACTTCATTTGAAACATAGAAAATCAACATATTCATGAAAAAATGGAAGAGAAAAGAAATTTCAGAAAATAGAAGGGCTGAGCCTCTATTTTGGTCCTATGAAAAGAGAAAAAAAAGGGAGAAAGAATCAATATGGTGATGAAAATAATCAATATGTATTAACTGGATAACATTTTGAGTTCTTCCATGCTTATCATTCCAAGTTTTGATGCCTTCCAAGGTTCAAGACATTACACATGTTGATTGAACCCTAACAAATGGAAAAAATAATAAAAAGAAACTTGTATTTTAACTTAAATTGAATAATTTAATTTAGTAATGTCTATCTTATTTATTATAAAAGTTGAGAATATAAAAGAATCTAAGAGCACCGTGTAAAAAACGTCTTGGCGATTAAGCAAGGCAACCCTTCATGAATGCCTTAATGGCCTAGGCACTGTCTTGACAACTGAGTGTGATGGTAAAGTCTCGGGATGAAAATCCAGCACATTGGTTTGGCTATATGATTGATGTTTCGTTGACAAATAGTGATTCTGTTCCATGTATGTCCACTACCTGTATTATTTGTGCTTTCACTAGACCTAACTTGCAGATCTGTCTACAAGACACAAAAACATATACCATCCTTTTCATTTGTATCTTACGGTGACAATTCTCACCTGGTGTTTGCATGTGGTGGCAAATATATTAATGGAAAACTTGTAAAAATAACTGCAGACCAAATTTTATTATTAACAAGCTTTACTTGCTTTGGTAATGTGTTTATCAATTTGGTTGACCTGTATCTTCTACTTGTTTCAGATCCGCAAAATGGTGGGTACTGCAATAGCAGTAAAGCGGAAGTTGCTACCACGAGATATCATTGAATTGTCTTTGTCCAAGTTTTCACGCATTGTACTACCCCTTGCCCCTTCTGAAGTCCTGATTCTGAGGGGAAACCAGTTTTCACTGAGAAACAGACCTGGCAATATTACTAGGCCCGAAATGCTGACATTGGTTGAATCAGAAGAAATTATCAAGGCTGTTGATGAGTTCTTCACATCTGTGCTTTGGTCTCAACTGTCAAAATTCTTGGAGCCTTCAGAATCTCCATGGAAAGATTGGGTGGAAAAATTGGATGCAAACACGAGTATTCCTGATGAAGAGTTGGAGGAAGTAAGGAAAGCTTGGAGGTTGTGGAAAAACTTTTGGAGGAAAACCGATGATATACTATCTATGGGAAGATAGATCAGGGATGAGCCGATGAGGGATGGTGTATACTACTGTCGGTTTTGTTCTCAATCTCATGGTAATTTATTAACGGTTCAGTTGTTGTCACTTTGTTACATACATGAGAAATATTTGGTAGTTGTCATGAAGTAATGGTATTTTTAAAAAGAAAAAGGAAAGAAATCAGATTGATTGGGATTGGTTTCTCAAACAGGTCAAACAGACCTCCCCAAAGTTATGGAGAGCAATCAGATGGGCTTTCTTGCCCAGATGGTACTAAGGGACTCGGTCGATCACCATCACAAAACCCTTTTAGATGAGAAGTGAATAGACTCTTGGGAAAAAGAATTTAAGGTGGTCTAGGTCTAAAACATGTAAGATCAATGCCTACTGAAAAGAAACGGGCATGCATCTTTTCTACATGCTTTGCCAGTTCAAACAGACCTACTCAGAGAAACTGCAAACAGGTTGCAGGAGTTTCAGACCTGAATGGAATCTTGGTTTAACCTTATGCTATGGTACGCCAGATAGGCAAGGTTCAAAGTATCGACCCGTATTAGCCGATACGTATTGTTCCAGGACCCCTCCGATACGCTCCTACAGTGGGTGTATCGGGGGTCTGACTGGTTCAGGGGGTGGAGCCTTAAACCGGCCCCTCTGAACCGGTTGTGAAAAAAAATAATAAAAGGCATCAAAAGCTGTATTGATTTGCCTGATACTAGGGTTGCAAGTCAGGCCGGATTAGGTCGGGTTGAGGCCAATCCTATCCCAACCCTATGTTTCAAACCCCCAACCCTAACCCTAACTAATTCCTTCAACCCTAACTCAGCCCGACCCAACCTGATGTCAACTTTGGGTTGGGTTGGGCTCGGGTTGGGCCCAACCCAACCTTCCCATCTCTTAAAATCTAGTAGAAAAATAAGTATTTGTTTATTGTGAGTTATGATTTATGATAATTTTTTTCTCAAAAATATAAATTTATGAAATCAACAATAATGAAACACAAAAATTATGGAAATAAAATCACTAATAACAACTCATAGGATCAAACAAATAATTTGAATATATTAAATAGATCACACATAAAAATTACAAGACAAAAGGAAAATACAAGTAGTCAAGTACCTATGAATAACTTAAAGAAAGGGGGCTATACAAATCTCATGCATCTAAACATATCAATGTATGTTATATATATATATATAATTATATATGACATGTAGTAGAGTTGTAGACTAGTAGACTAGTAGTCTAGTACTATAGGGGGCCGGGTTCAGGTTGGGTTGGTTTGCCTGAGGGGTCAACCCTAACTCAACCCAAACTAAGGTCGGGTTCAAGAATTTCAACCCTAACCCTAACCCGATCATCAACCCAGCCCAACCCAACCCAATTTTTTCGGGTTGGATTTGGGCCAATCCGGCCCAAGTTGCAGCCCTACCTGGTATTCTCAAATCGGCGCATCGGGTGTATCGATATTTTGAACCTTACAGATAGGTTACATATCTATTGTCTTGTATAACAAAGACACTCCCACGCTCCTTGGACTTCTATGGTATGGTCTCTGTATAAGGTGCGGTGTGTTTGAATCCACTGGCCCTCATTGTGGTTTGCTTGAAATCACATGCTTTGGACCACACCACACTCCATAACTTGTTTCACACTGTGATATGGATGTACTGTTGGTAAAATTTTAAATAAATTATCAGTCATTTATTACATCACATATGATAATCAGACTGGTGTGGATTATTCCATGAAGGCCTAATGGGTGTGGTGTACTTCAAACCAATGAAATTCACAGAATATTCACAGTACAGAACCCTCATTAGTTGACACTCCAACTATGGGAGATATTATGAGTAATGGCTTGCTGGTACTATGTTGGCAGTGTGCATACAGAGACGTTTTGAAAATTAGAAAGACGGACAGACGAGTAAATTGCCTTCCTGGGAGTTCTACATTTTAATGCAACATTTGCAACCTGCGGTCTAATAGACTGGTTGGATTGGTTGTCCTATCATCCAGGATCCAGCCAGAATTTTGGGTGCACTTCATCATCGAACTGTTGGCTTGTAAAATATTAAAAATAAACATTGATCCCATCAATAACCCTGAGATCAAGACAGAGAATCATTAAACTATTTAACCCACCCGATCAGTGAGTCACAGGTATCGATTCTTTTTTTTTTTTTTACTTTTTGTATTTTTAGATATTTTTATAATTATATATAATATTACAGATATATCCAATTTATCTACAAATTTAATATAATTTTCTATTTTTTTGTATTTTTTACCTTTTTATATTTTTATTGTTTAATTATGATTTTACAAGTTTAACTTTTTCTCAAAATGATTGAACCACTAACACAAAATTGTATTTCATTTTCATGGTAATATGCATTAAATATTCATAAGCACTAAGTCTAAACTGAAATAAATAATTTTAATTTAACAATAGTAAAATAAAATAAATAAAATTGTACTCTAATAATTAATAAATACTTGAAAATATGTACAAATTTTATTTAAAAATGTACATATACATATTTTATACATATATATATATATAATTAGAAAAAATATTTTTTTATAAATATAATGCATGCATATATGTATGTGTGTGTGTATGTATGTATGTATGTATGTATGTATGTATATCCTATTCATACCGAATAGTTAATCGGATTCAAATTCGGATATGACCTGATTCGATTCGATRAATATCCGAATTCGATCGATTATTTAATTCTTATATATAATATATAAAATTTTTAAGTATTTTATATAATTTATATATATAATAATTAAATTATATATATACTTTATATAAATAAAATATTTATTTTATATAGTTATTAATTATCTAAAATAATTAATTAGTCAAATTCAAATCGAATCGAATATCCGAATATTTATCGGATTCGAATTCGAATATTAGTTTTTAATATCCATCGGATATCGAATTTTTTAATCGGATTCAAATTCGGATATTATCTGTTCCGATTCGAATTCAATCCGTTTACACCCCTATACGTATGTATGTATTTATTTGGGTAGGCACAGGTTAGACCAGAAGAAGTTTAGATCAATCTTAGGCTACCTAAGGCCTCAACCCAAACCTAACCCACAACCCAAAAACTTAGACCCAACCCGTGCAAAAACAGAACCGGTTGCCTAGAGGATTTCTGGGTCAAATGGTTTGACCATCTAGGTCTACAATTGTTCGAAAACCATTATTTTGAACTTTGATGAATATTAGTTGACTGGTTACCACTTTTATTATATTGATTGGTTATCAACTTTGTAGGTAGTATTACTATCATAGTCAAACTTAAGGGTGTCCATGAAAAACCGAAAAACCAAACTGAACCGAGAAAATTGGACTGATAGGTTCAGTTTCAGTTTGGTATTTTTGAAAAACTGAATGACTGGTTCAGCTTTCGGTTAACCTACAAAAAAACCAATGGTTAATCGAACCGACCGGTATATATATTTATATATATTATACATTTTAATATATCTCACATATTTTTTATATATTATATATAAATGTATGTTCATTATATGTACATACATTATATTTATAATAATCTTTTTACAATATATTATATATCATTTATTATTTATAATATAATATTATACATATATTTATATAATATATATTATAAATACAAAAACTGAAAAACTAAAGAACCGAACCAATCAAAAATTGAAACCGGCAAACCGGTTAACCAATTGTACCAATTCGGTTTGCAAAAAATGCCCGTGGTTCGGTTAACCGAATTATAGACACCCCTAGTCAAACTCATAAAATACAAAGTGACACAAAATTTATGGGTCAAACGACAATAGATATGTCAATGGGCCAGATATTGATCCATCTAACCCAACCTGATGAATCCATTACTGGTGGACCAGGTCCAATCCAATCTAATGAATATTTTGGATTATTCTGGGCTGGCCCAATTTAATATTTGGACCACCTAATCTGTTTAAATTGATTTTAATTTAGATTTTGGTCCAATCCAAGCCCGGTACAATGACACGCATACTCTTATCTTCTATCAATGGATTGAATATTAGGGTATGTTTGGTTGGTAGTGGGAATCAGAATCCGAATGGTCTATTTCCATAGTTTGTTTGTTTCAAACATGAATGAAAATGGAAATTAAAATAAGCAGGAATGAGATTTTATTCTCAAAGGAAAAGCAGAGAATGACCATTCCCTCAAATGGGGAAATGTCATTCCAGCAAGAATGAAAATGGAGTTTTGATTCTGTTCAGCCAAACATTGGAATTGGAATAACCCATTCTGAATCCGATTCTAAACCCTTTTCCTATAAACCAAACGGACCCTTAATTCAATCCAATCGGATAGATACCTTGGACCATTAAGGCTGGGCTGGTTTAATTTAATATATCTTGGTCCGTACAACCCATTCAAATTGATTTTGATTCGAACGACATTCAATTCAAACCGGGTCGATTAACACCCCTAGTCATAGATAATGTATAAATATAATATAAAATTAATAAATTTTGTAATTTGTAATATATTATTTAATATAATTTTATATTTGAGTTGCGGCAATAAATAGAATAGTACACGTGGCATGTGCTAGTAAAGGATGACTGTGTGATCAAATAGTTGCAAAGGATGAAAGGAGATTGGGTGAGAAGGGTTGAGTGGGTGGCCTGACTGGAACACACAAGTCAAACAGAGTTACTGAAATCAACCGCATGATTAGAAAAAGAGGGTGGCGTTTGGAGTGATCACAGTGAAATTGCAGTTGTTTCAACTTTCAAGCACTCTCAATGAATGAAATATTCTTTAAGTCAGGGGTGTCCACAACAAACCGTAGGGTTTTTTTTAGGACCGAATCAGTACTATCGGTTTTTATAAAACTGGTAATTGAAATTGACTGAAACCAATCGGTTAATCGATTGACTGATTTGATTAACGGTCGATTTACTTCCTTGGTTTTTTGGTTTTCAATTTTTATAATATATAAATATATATAATATTATATTTTAATTACTAAATAATATATCATATATTATAAATATATATATATATAATATATATTTATTAATTTATTATATATAATATATATTTATTCAGTTAACCACCGATTTTTTATATTATTCAACTAGAACCAAACCACTACTTTCGATTTTTTTAAAAATACCAGATCGAT